TTTTCACTTACCATCCTGGGAGGGGTCCCTGTCCCCTGGGGCTCACCTTCTGCCACATGGCCCGGGTACAGCTACTCCGCAGGGCTGTGTGCTGCCATGACAAGTATTCATCCACGCGGGCACGGGCCTGCAGGTCCTCTGGGTACCAGTGGTCGGGGGCCTTGTACTTGCGGCTCAGATACAGCAGGATGGCCACACTGGGAAGCATGGCAGAAGTAAGGGAGATGTCCCAGTCACTTTTCAGGTGCTCCACAGGGGCCAGGCCCTGGGTGGGGCAGGCCTCTGCTCCTAGTATGTCTTTCCCCAACTCCTGTGGGTGGAGTATTTCATGACCTCCATGGTGCTGAGTAGGAATGTGAGGCTCAGAGAGTTTAGGTGACTGCCCAGGGTCACACAACTCTACATTGGGCCATCCCATCATCTGAATTAAGGGAACCAAGTGAGAAACAAAATGTCATGGGACTTCAGAAGTGGGGAGGGTATGCTCAGGGAAAGCTTCCACAAAAATGGGTGCCCAGTATGGATCATGAAGGATGAAAGCAACGTCAGTACCATTCCCCAACATATCCAAAGCATGAACACACCAGAAGCAAGACCCGGCACCCCTCCCCGCCCTGGGCCCCTCTGCCCACTTCAAGCCACTTTCCACCCTGGGTCTGGCACAGGTGCTCAGGGCACACAAGCCACGAAATAAGCCATCAACAGTGGATACACAGATAGTTAACTGGCCCCACAAAGCCATGCAAAAGTCCAGGGACCCATTACCTCTCAGCCAAGGTGAACTCCCCATCCTTTAGGGCTGGCACCTTCCTCAGGGGGTTCACCTGGGCAAAGGCATCGCTGTGGTGCTGGCCTGTGGAAGAAACCACTGAGGTGGTAGAGAGCCCTGAGCCCTCCAAGGTCTCTCTGTCCACCCCCACCCAACATCCAGGACCTTTCTGAGACCCCGATCTTGGTGGAGCATCAAAGAAAAGGAGGCCACTCCACTGGTCATCAAATCACAGACCCTGTTTGACCCCACCAAAGGGCCACTATCCTTGTGTCCTCCCCCTTGGAACTTGGGCCAAGCAGCATCTTGACTTGGGCCTGGGGTGCGGGGTTAGGATTCCCTGGAATTGTAATACACACACATACACACAGAGAGCCACGTCAGACTCTCCAGCCTCCATCCTGGGCTCTAAGCTTGAACCCTGCAATCCATCTTCCTATGCTGGCAGAGTGATCTGTACATGCCCCAGAGCTCCAGCCACATCTGCTCACAGCCCTCAGTCCATCCTTGCTCTTACCAGAAGCTACTGCCCCGTTCAGCCACCCAGATCCCAGCAGCTCAGCTCTTCTTTCTTTCCTGTGCCAAACTCTCAAGGCTCCCTCTCCAATGGGGGTCCAGGTCTGACTCACTTCTGCATACCTCCCCAGCCAGGGGCCAGTGTTAGAGGGTACACCACTTAATGTGCATGGAGTCTGAGGGCCTCAGTACAACCAGGCTCCAGCCTGGCCACAGGGCCCCCTGTGGGCCTCTCTGCCCTTCTACTGAGTGGACAGAATCACCCCGACCCAGTCTCCTTCCAGAAACTGCCTCTGTGCCCAGCCCCCATTCCAAGGAGAGCCAGAAAGGCACAGCAAGGTGGCAGTATAGCAACTGGTGGCCCAGGTTGGGGGAACCAAAGACAGAAGGTGGGCAGGCTCAGCCAAGCAGGGGCCTCCCTCCTGGCCTGCCCAAGGGGCTATGGATCCCAAGCTTGCCCTACTGTCCAGTTACAGCCCTGCCCCCTCCACCAGATTTTGTAAAAGTGGAGGAGACCTAGGCAGGAGTAGGTAGGAATAAAGAAGAGACCAGATCTAGGTAGAACCTTCTCCTCCCAGCAGATGCAGAAACTCAGAGATGGTGAGGGGCTCAGTTGGTTAAGAGTTAGCTTACTAACATGAGCTCTGAGCAACAGGGCCGTCGGTTCAATTCCCACATGGGCCAGTGATGCTGCGCCCGAGCTGAGCTGCCAACAGGTGGCAGGATGGCTCAGTTGGTGAGAGCATGTGCTCCTAACAACAAGATTGCCTGTTCCATGGTGGGCTACGGCTGCCCGCAACTAGCAACTAAGACTGAATTGGGCACCTTGAGCTGAGCTGTGACCCGGATAGCTCAGTGGATAGAGCGCGCGCTCTTAACAACAAGGATGCTGGTTCAACTCCCGCATGGGATGGTGGCTACGCCCACCCGCAACTAAGATTGTAACACAGCACCTTGAGCTTAAGAGGCCACGAGCTGCCCACAGGCAACCAGAGGACGACTGGCGCCCTCAACTATGACTGAAGAACAACTTGGCTGGTCCTCCTCCCCAATTTCCTAACACTGTTCCCCTCCCCCAGTTCCCCAATTAAAAAAAAGAAACTCAAAGATGGTGATTACTCCTACTAGGAAATGAGGAGGCAGTTTCACTGGTTTCTCCAAGCGCTGGTGTAGAGGTACTGGGGCACCCATTCCTCTTCTCCATCCCCACCCCCCAAACTCCATTGCTCTCTAGCTGCCCTGCCTTCTCTTAACCTGTATTTTTTAAAATTATTTTTTATTGTGAAATACACATTTTTTTGAATTAGTTTCAGCTGTACAACACAGTGTAA